TCCTCTCTAATGTTTCAGTCTGAGCTTCTGATGCTGCAACAAAAGCTGAATTTCTTTTCAGGATCTTTTCAACATCGTTAGCAGGGGGGGCCCTAAGGATGTGCTTCTGTATGGATGTATGATTGTTATTAGACAGGAGCTCTAATCAGGAAGCAGAGAACAAACGTTTCACCTGCTTCACCATCAGGATCTTATCAGCAGGTGGTTGGTTGTAAAACAGGAATGGATCAGGAGACCTTTGACCTTCAGCTCCATCAGAATCTCTACAACTAGATAATAGGAATAGCAAGAGGAACCCATTTATGAGACGTTCCGATGTGAGGAGAAGCTTCAGGACGCAGAGAAGGTCCAGAACCTCCATGATGTTACCCTAGGAGCAGCAAAGGAGGCGGTTCCTTCCAGAAAACCATTAATGACAGACTGAACAGCTGCTGGAGGGTTCGGTTCTCTGATGGACCCCCCATGGAGGTTTGGGATCAGAAGATCCAAGAACTTTGCCATCAAAGCAAAGCTGAGGCTGACCCTGAGGTCACCATGGATGAAGAAACACAGAAAGATTTGGCTGCAGGAGCAGAACCGTAAAGGTGACCCAAAAAGATCATCCAGCACTGCAAAAAATCTGAATCTAGATAAGTCATTTCTTCTTAAAATAAGTGCATTTTTTCTTGAATTAAGGATTTAAGTGAGACATTTTGCCAATGGAACAAGACAATTTACACTTAAAATAAAAAAACACAATTGCGTTGTCTTATTTCAAGTGCATATTATCTAATTATCTTATTTTAAGAGTAAAAATACTCATTCCATTGGCTAACTATCTTATTTACCTGCTAAATTAAGGGTAAATACACTTAATTTAAGAAATTTTTACTTATTTCTAGATCGTTTTTGCAGTGAGGTGGATTCTGAATCACCTGAGTGAAGTTGGCCCCCCCCCACCGTCTTCAAATCAGACAAAATTGGTGTCAAACGTTTGTGCAGAAAAAATTTTCGTTTCTGCCACTATCATTTTTTTATAGTTTAAAATCATATAATCATAGATTAGCAACTTATCATTTATAGTTTCAGAATGAACAAACGTTCACTGACCTTTGATGGCTTCTACAAACAATTATTAATATCATTAAAATGATAGCAGTACAAAAAAATTTATATATTTTAAAATATGCATTTTTTTACATTTTTAATATGTTTATTTTAAATATTTTATATTTAAAATTCATTCTAAAATTTAATATTTTTGTATGGCAAAAATTTCCTTTTGTACTGCTATCATTTTAATGATATTAATAATATTTTGTAAAGGTCATAAAAGGTCAGCTAACATCTGTTTTTGCTGCACAAACGGAGACGAGGGGGGGGGGGTGTTTGACCTTTGATGACCTCTAGAAACATCATTTCTGTATATCTTTAAAATGGTAGCGGCACAAACGAAAATTTTTGCTGCACAAAGGTTTGAAACCAATTTTGTTTAATTTGAAGAAGGTGGGGGGGGCTGCTTGACCTTTTGACCTTTACATATTCATTAATATCTTCAAATCCAAAGCAGCACAAATGAATATTTTTGCTGCTCAAGGTGGTGATGAAGGAGGCTGAGGGGACGTGATTAAATGATCGTCCAGCTGGTGATGATGTGGTAAAGATCAGAGGTTGAACAACCTCTGGTCATGTGATTCAGTTTTATGGGCGGGGGGACGGAGCTGGTTTCTGATTGGTGGAACTCCTGGGTCTGCGTTCAGAGCTGCGTGGGTCTGTGACTGTGAGGCTCACTGCTGCCACCGGGGGGCGTGGTCACCAGGCTCCTCAGATACACGCAGGGGTTCCTCCTCCTCCCAGAACCCGGCGGTGGAGCAGGTGGGGGCGCGGGCGGCGGTGACCCGGGGAGCCTCAGGGGCGACATGAGCGGCTGCATTTCCTGCGACGCCCCAGGCTCCTCCTCCTCTTCCTCCTCCTCCACCTGCTGCTTCTTCTTCCTCTCTGGAAAGCTGAAGGAGGCCTGGGGCAGCGGGGGCCCCGCGGAGGGGCTGCCCCCCGCCGTGGGCCCTGTGTAGGAGAGCGGCCGGGGTCCTCCCAGCCTGGAGAGGGCGCTGACGCGAGGGTGGACGGGCTCGGCGGGGGCAGGTGGGGAGGAGATGCTCTCCAGGGAGGAGATGCTCTGGTTCCAGGCCTGCTGCAGGTCCACAGGGATGATCTTGGTGGCCTCCACAGAAACACACGGGGGAGGGGCTCCCACGCTTCCCTTCCACGGCAAATGGCTGTCTGCAGCGGGAGGGGAGGGGGTGTGGGGTGGGGGGCTCTGACAGACGTCCAGAGCTGCTGGGACTGAAAGAGAAACAGCAGTCAGAGATTCTAGACTCAGTTTTCTGTAGATCTACAGCTTCTTCTTCTCCTCAGAGTTTTACCGGATTTGGGTCGCTGTTTGGGCGTCTCCGCCTTCCGAGCCACGAAGGTGATGCCGACATCTTCCTCCTTTTCCGGGTCAGAGTGATCGGCTTTGTCCTCTTCAGGTTCCACAGGAACGACCACAGGATCTGAGACAGAACAGCAGCAGGTTAGATCCGAGAGTCTAGAAGCTGCTCGGCTGGAAACGATGGAAGGGAGAACGCCACCAGATCATCAGACGTTCTAAGGTTCTAAACCAGAGCTCATGGATTAGTGGACCGGGTTCCGGATCAGAACCCACCTGCTGATTCTAATTCAACCAGATTTAAAACATTTATAAACTAACGCATGCTGTCTGACGGCAGTGTCTAAATTCACTTGCGCCTCTTCTCCTGTTAATACGGTAAAGCCCTGCGGAGCGTCCGGCTCCAGGCTGCACGTGATCCAAATGAGCCAATGAGAACTGCGGTGAACTGGTGAAAGAAAAGTGAAATGGCGTGCTCAAAGATGACCCTGCACCCTTAGAGGATGTTTGGCTCAACGCTCA